AATCAACCCATAACTCCCGCTAAGAGGGCGGCCCTGCCAGATGCCCGGATGCTCGGAAAATTTTGTAACGTAATGTCACGAACAAATCGTCAGCTGAAGCGAACAGCGTTGCCAAGTTCACATCATAATCTGTAGTTCACATTTACTTAATCCGCTTTAGTATACGGATACATATGTACGAAACCAATAAAATGCAAGTAAATAAAGGATCATGCTGCATTTTATTATAAATAATTTGAATTATTGCAGAGGTTTGTAGGCACACCGTATTTTATCAAATAAAAACAGTCGGCACACTAAATACCCGAATATACAAAATATACTACACACGGTTACAAAACCATTAAGAATTTAAAGCGTTTATTCAAATCTACCACCCTCAATATCTCCCGCATTTTTCCTGCAAAGGAGTGAACATCACATCATAAAGATGGAGAGGGGATGTAGATTGGAAAGACACAGACACACGAAACCGTTAACTAACGGATATAAAATAGACTAAACTTAGTCTATATCCAATTGTTTAAAGTGTCGGTCGTGATGGCTCTGTATACGAATGCCGAATATGTGGATATGGTGATTTTATACGGACAGTGTGTACAGAACGCAAATGCCGCTGCAATTGAATATCGCAGGCGTTTCCCTGATCGACAGAACTTCCCAAGCCCGCGGACAATTGTACAAGTCTTCGTGACACGGGTTCTATCATACCGCGCAGAGAACGCGCAGGAGACATCAACAAAATGACTTAAATGTGATAGAGGCTGTTTTAAATGTAGTCGAGGAGCAGCGTACTATTTCGACAAGAACAATTTCAAGACGATTGGAGATATCACAAACAAAAGTTTGGCGGATATTGCGCGAGAATTCACTCAACCCGTACCATTTTCAAAAAGTTCAAGCTTTAGAACCAGCTGATTTTCCCAATCGTCTTGAATTTTGCAATTGGTTCCTAAATCGAATTGCAGCAGGACCCAACTTTACTAACATAGTGCTCCGGACGGATGAATGCTGTTTTACTCGAGCTGGCATTTTAAACAGGTAAAGAACATATTACTTTCTCAAAAACAATAAGTACCCACCTAGATTACACCAAAGCTTACATTTACTATGTAAACTTTGGTTATACGCAACTGCATATTGAATAATAAAACTGTATTATTTGACATAATAAATTATAAAACGTCAAAACGTTAATAATTCGAAAACAATCATCCCTATTCATTACATTCAATTTGATAACACGATT